TCTCTCCTAGCCAATTTAAAGTATATACAGTACATCCTAGCTGCATTGTTTGCTTCGAAAATAAAACGGATTTTTGACACTTCCCAAAGTAACTTCAATCTCTTTAGTATTTATATAATATTTTGCTAAAATTACCCCGATTTGTCAGGAAGCACTCAAAAAGAAATTCTTAACCAGTTATTAACCAATCTTCTCACATTTTGAGAAACCGTATAGAAGAAGAAAACACAGGAACTTCCAGTAAGTTCAAAATTCTTTCAAAAGGGCTCTTTTACCAGCCCAGTTTTGCTAAATAAATGCTTGATCCCGCAGCAGACTTCCACACAGATCCATACTCAACCGTGTATAGTTGCTCTGCATATGCCTTGCCTCTATACCACACATTTTATCTGCATTAGCGACATGACAAAGCAGATAATCCTGAAAATAACTGTGGTAAATACAGTTGTTGAATGATATTTTTGACTTAAAAATGGATTTGTGGAACAAAGATGGTTTTAGCTTGGCTTCCTTGAAGAGGCTTAAATCATCGTAGTGTCAAGTCTTTTTTAAAACATTTGTCCTGCCCACCCCAATTTTTGAACTAGCTTTCCGGGTATTTAACAAAAAAGTACAAGTGTTCCTTTAAGCTTTATATGACAACAGCTAAGTTGTGCAGGAAGACCCAACTAATGCCCAAGCGAAGGACAAGTTGGGACAGGTGAGCTCTTAAAACTGCTCCCCATCCTATCACAGCACATGCGTACCAACTATCCGGTCAGAACAGACGGAACTTTAAATTAGCCATCGCTAAGACTCCCATCAGTTAGCCAGGCATGGTACAAAGGATGCCAAAAGAGGACAAGATTTGATGTGAAGGGAATAAGAGAAACATAAAACACAAGGCACAAATCTATAAAAAGCAGGGTTGACAGGTTCTGCTGCCTACATAACAACCTGTTCATTTTTATTTTTAAAATAATTTAACCTAATAAGTCCAACGTTTGACAGCAGTACTTGTCATTCTCCATCTGAAGCAAACTCCACTCTATTCGACTATGCACAGCTGAACATACAGATGTTATTTTTTCTCGTAAGATTAGTCTATTACCAGACATTAACCTAAACGGATGAGGTTATCCCACATTTAACCACTAGAGGGCTTTATTCTAGTGCAAAAACCCCAGTTGCTTTCCAGCTGGGTGTCCAGCACCTTTGAAAAAACATCCAAACTCAGATAACATGAGCGCTCTCTTTAAATGCAGCCCGTAAGTTTTCTAAGTAGCGGAAGCAAAGGGCAACAATTTGTAGGATTACAGACACTACTACGGATGCGCAGCTGTTTCAGGGTAAATTAAAAAATCTAAGCCTGTTTCCCAAACAGCTACTGAACGTGGACCAGCTACATTCCTAGGCTGGAATGTTTTACCAACACATACCTAGCTCCTGGGTGAGCATGCATGCTGAACAGCATGGACCTGAAGAACTGAACAGCATCTATGGGTTGCTTTTAACGAAGCCAGCAGAATTAAGTTATCTGTAAACTAGCCAAAGCGCATTAGAGGAAAAGAAAACAGGGATAAATTAGCACAGAAAAAGGAACAGTAACATAGGACCTTACACTCTGAAGCAGAAGTGACACAGCAAAGCTCTGAAAGGTGACGGGATGGAACGTGGATGGAACCAAGGGAGTGTAGCACAGTGAAAAGCAACACTGATCTCAACCGGGCAGACAGCTCTTGAAGGTGCAATGCCCAGAGGGCAGGTTGCATCCAACGCCGAGAGCAAGATGATCATACCCCAAGACCTATGCTGAAAATCTTAGCTGAGTAGTAGCAAGTTAGTTGGCTTTGTCTCAAATTATCTGTGTTTATGGACTAACCACTGAGAAGTTACTCTGCAGAAATTTAAAAGCATCTGAAGACATTTGCCAAAGTAGAAGCATTTGTTGTACATTCCATTGTAACAGAAAAGCACTAGTCTCAGTTGTTTGCCTGGCACCTTTCTACTCTGCATAGGCATTATGGTTCTTCATGATGTTTTCTCTGCATTCACCAATACCTGAATGTTTTAGTCAGAGACAGACTCCTACATTTCCTCCTCCAGTACAGATTCCAAAGAACACACATCACAAAATCATAAGGACAGTCAGAGAACCCAAATGATTCAAAATTTGAGTGGGGGTTGGGGTTTTTTGTTTGAGTTGATCATGGGTTTGATTTTTTTAAATAGTATTTATTATCTTCCCACTAAGAACCATATTAACATTCTCAGATACCATACCTAGATACCTGCTGGAATTAAATTTTTTTTGTGAAGTTATGGAAAAAAGCTTAATAAAAATTGATTTTCACAGACAAGGACATTTTTCAGACTAGTAGCATAACACGTTTGTGTACAGTAAGTTCTGAAATGTATGCATCTCCTCTAGCTCAGTGGATAATTATTGGGTGCAATATTCTTATTTCAAAACCAGGTGTAAGTAACCTTACCATTTTGAAGCCTCTAAGCAATCTTCTGAATATTCCCCTGATCCAACCTGTTTGACTAGCTATGGTTGCGTAGAAATTTTTTTTAAAAAATCATTCTTTTCTGATACTCAGGTACAGATTAACATGCCACCACCTCTTCCTCCCTCCTCTTAAAAAATAAAATCTCATCTAATTGTTTCTCTTCTAGCATAGGGACTCCGATACTGCTTTATTCTAGATCTCTACATAAAGGTCTGAAATAACAGATTCACTCCAGGATTAGTTAAGGTGGTACGTTACGGCCCATGTTACTCAGATCAGATTACATCTATCTGTTAGCACCTCAAGATTTAAGTTCATTTAAGATATTCTCCAACGTCTGGGTGTATCCTTGAAAAGTTCTGCCACTTTATTTGTGCAAAATTTAGACATAAGGTTAAGAATAGCATGAATAGAAGCCAATTCACGGATCACCTAATTCACTGCATAGCCATTCCAGTAGAATACCACCAAACAAGACAGCTTGAGTATCACTACTCACTGCAGCAAATATATAAGCAGCACAAGCACCTGGCATCTGATAACACGCAAACTGTGACACATTTAAGTGTCAACTATTAACCTGCACTTCAAGGTTATGAAGACAGCATCAGGTTGACAGAAAGTACTAGTTTCCAGGTATGCAATATGTAGTTTTCTATAGAAATCTTGCCTTACTCATTTCATGCTGGGTAAAAACACCACATCATTTAACATTAATATTTTATTCTAGACTGATGTTCAGCTGTGTGAACTATTTGTAACTTAAGACATGAATAGTTTTATCTTACTCATTACTAACCTTTAAAACATTCAGAAGTGACACATGTATTCTCAAAAAAACACTTATGAAAATAGTTTAGTACTATCAGTTACTAATGGTAAAGTGGCAGACAGACAGAACTGTGTTAAGTGGCTGACTCTAATTTGATGCATTAACCATTAGAAAAACCTAATAGTAAGTGGCCATGACTTGAAATAATGTTCCCAAATAGATTAATATGCAATTGTCTGTCAGGCCTATTATCGAAGCCAAAACCAGAGACACTCAGAACAGTTACTGTGCTACCTGAGAAGTCTAGTTTAAACCCCTTTTAGCTATGAGGTAGAAGCCTTAAATAAAGGCATCAAGTGATTCTAGTTAGAAGTTAGAAACCAAGAGTTTGGCTTGACCTTAAGCTCACTTATTGAAGGGGATATAGGAAAAAAGTTCCAAAGCAAATTGTGGGTAAAGCTACCATCAGGTATTACACAACAAAAACGCGGAAGAACAACCAGGGACAGCATGGCCAGAAAATGTGACATAAAGAAAACAATCTGGGAAGGGCAGAGAGAGGGCTTACTCCAGGTAGTAAGCAAGATGAACTATCACTTTTGCTGTTCTAGGAGTTTTTCTAGAGAACAGAAGTTGGTAACCAGCTAATGGACATCTACCAAACTAAACTGCTGCTAAGGAGTCTGCAAAAGGTCAGCAACAGGCTTACCCACTATAACTAACACTTGAATTTGCTCCAGTGGCCTGCACACAACTAAATAGGTCTTAAGGTCTCCCTCAAAGTCAGAGGATGGTGCTAACACACACATGCTAAGCCTAGTATCGGTATCAGTCGCAGATACAGGAAAGTACTGAAAGCCATGTATGTTGTTATCCACGGAACACCACTCATAGGAAATGAGGTTCAAGAGTCATAAGTAAATGCAATTCCATTTATTTTCCAGCAACATCCCATACAAAAGCAATAGAAACATTAACTGCTTTCAGCAGAAAGTCTGTACAGTATCATCATTTACAAAAGTTTTACATTTAAAATCAGCAAATTAAAAAGAATCAAGCACTTTCCCTAGACATTGTTTTCTTGACTGTATTAACAAATGACTCATGACTATTTACAAATTTCAAATTCAGGCTACTGCTTCTTAAAGCATTATTGCCTGGGCTTTACCATACTGACCTCCAATTTCTTGAGAGTATTTAATTTCCAATTGTTTCTGAAACATTTTTTAAAATAAAGAATTTTTTTTAAAAAAAAAAAGGTAAGGCAGTTAATCTTCCAGTAAATAACTGCAGTAGGTGAGTTTACTAGTACTAATCAGCAGTATGGTTCAGCTACCACCTGTATGGCACCAAGTCAGATCTTTGTAGAAGAGCCAGATGGAAAAGCAAGATAACACACAGATGCTCCAAAAATATCTCCCTACTTTGCTCTTGATCTGCAGGTGGACAACTGAAATTATGGACACAATGGTGGGTGGGCAAAATCAGTATGATCTTGCTGAACTATTTATAATTACTTGAAGATTGCACTGCCTTTGGCTATTGTTTCTATTGAAAGGTTTTATAAAAAAAAATCTGATATACATAAATTAAAAGTTAAAAAGAAGTCACACAACTTAATTGTATTTTTACACAAGTTTGGTCCAGAGAATATTGAGACCAACCACAACTTGGAGAACAGTCTTCAACTTTGCTTAAGCTTTCTTACTATTAACATTTTATGAATCAAGCTAACCTCTCAAATTTAAAAGAAACTTCTAAAACACTTTGCAAGAGACTGTTTAACTCACAGTATCAAAATCTTTAAGTGGTTCACTCAAACACACTTCCAAGTCAAATTCACCTTCTGCTTCATAGTCAACATGTCTAACTTTGGTGGGAGTGCCAGAACAGGTATCCTGGAATACAAAGTCAGTTAATAATTAGCATTTCAATACAGGTTTAATTATGCAGAAATTCATTTAGACCACACTAGAACAGAGGCTTACAAACACTTTGAAGGCTAGTCTTAAGATTGAAGAGATTTAAATGAAGGCTTCTGCCTATTCAACCACATTCTAAGATTTCTTGCAAATGTTAATGTTTATACTGTATATGTAGTTAAAACATTATACAGATTCAGTATTAATCAGAGAAACAAATCCAGTAAGAAAAACATTACTAGATCTTTACTGAAGGTTACTGCTCAGCTGTACTAAATGCTTTCTGCATATAAAAAGAGCCTACTTCAAAAAGTCTGAGTGTGCCAAGAAAATTACATCCTATTTTAACATTAGGTATTGCAATCTAAAGTAGCATTTCCACTGTACATCACAGTTCATAACTGATATGCTTTGAACAGATAGATTTTCTTCTGCAGACTATGAAAAATGAGATATCTGTCTTTTGAGATAGTCACTTAAGTTCTAACTCTCTGAACTCAGACTACAGACAGATATTGGCTATAGCTGGGAAAACGTCTGAATTTAAAGATTGCTTAGCCTTATAAATAGTCCCTGAACACAGCAGATTATGGAGTGTCTCATGTATTCAGGCTACTCTGGATATAATTCTACGTAATGGACTGATTATTAACAAATATTTATGCAGATGACAGATACGCTTACATCATTATCTTGACAGCTCGTATGAGATTCAGTAGAATTGCTTCCGACAGATTCTGTCTCCATCTCACCAAGGTCAACAGGAGTACTGTAAAATATATTAAAACAAATTCAGTTTTCTAGTAGTAACTTGCACTTTGTAGGTGCAGTTCTAAAAATGATGTCCAAACAAGAGCAGAGACACCTGCAGAGATTAAAGGGACAGTGGTGGCAAACTGCCGAGACCAAACAGAATAGCAGGTCAACTCAATGCAGCCAAAATGGCCAAGGACTAAATTAAAATCTTGAGATTGAATATGGCAACTGATCAAAAATAAATACCCAACACTCCAACAATGCCTCAATACAAACGAGGACAAATGTTATGGAAGAGCAAGGAGTATTTATTTTTTCCAGACAAGGTTTTCATCAATTTGATTTGCAATGTAAGATTTAATATCTTCTATACACATAACTAGACCCCAGCATCTGAAGATAGACTAGTATTTCACACAAATGTACACAGTAGGCTTCAGGCTGAAATACCAACTCCCCTCACAATTACAAGTAAAAGAAAGCTAAAAGTAAGCCCTTGCTTTTAGATCCCATTGCTCCATATCAGTCTTAAAATCAGCATCACTATTAGGAAAAATAGTAACTTAGTAGTACAAAACTTTCCTGAGGAATTAGTTACATCTGTGTGTACCTTCATTCTGTAGTCCCATAGTTTTATTTTGGATTCCCTGATTAGCCTTATTGCTTTTTACATAGGAAGAAAGTAACAAGTTGTGCTATTCTACATCTTCTAGCACAGAATACCACAGTAGCTTGGACTGTGAAGGCTTGTGGCCATGCTTTTAATTTAATGGCACCTTGAGGTGATTTTACAAGTACTTCTTTCCTACTCTGCTGAAGAAACAAGAATTTATACCACTGTTCTTTAACTAGCAAGTGAAAAGGCTATAAGGCAGGTTCTTGTACATTGTACTGGTCCAAGCTCAATATTTGTGAGATCTGTCAATTAATGAGAACTCTCCAGTACTGCTTCCACCACAGACTGATCGGCAGACTGCTCTGAATGAATCAGCTTGCCTCAATGGTTTTGATATTTTCTTTTATAGAGCACTGCAGAACGAGCTCTGATTTCACCCAGTAGATGTACATTAAAGTAGTGAGGGATTTTTATATATATATATATATATATGCCCTTGCAAGGACATTGGGTAAGTCTAGTCTCACCAACTAGGTCTAGAAAGCTGTTACATATTTTGACTGAGAAGGAACTGAATAGCACTAAGTGTGGACAAGTAACTAATGAAAACGTTCAACAATCACTGATTTGTCTCAAAAAGGGCTATGTTGTTTTAGGTAGGTTTTGTTTTGGTTTTTTTATCCATAAGATTTTATATATTAGTTTCTATAAAGGTATCTTGAATACTCTATACATACATTTCTTGCAGATCACATCCATCTTCAGTAGGTGGATCCCAGGAATGCAGTGCAACTTTCCATAGTTTAATTTGCTGATCCCATGACCTACGGCTGTACTTCTTAAATTTATTTGGAGTTCTGGGATGAACTCCTGGTATACGATGGCATCTATTCAGATATTAAGCATGAAAAATTCATTAATGCTTTTCACACAGACATATCATATAGCTTTGTTAAGACTGATTTATGTTAAGATTGACTGCCTGCTACCCAGAATTTGCTGGGTTGTAATGAGTCTAAGTGATTATATTATTTATGAGAAAAGACTATTGCACAGCTCCAGCACTCATGTAAAAAACTGTCATCTCTGTATGAACATTTTAGTTTTTCTGTCCAAGTCAAATAAAAAACCCCCCAGATTATCAGTCTTAGGGCCGAAAACATCAGCATGAAATTTCTGCATATAACATACTCCAAACTTATTTGGTCTTTTCATTTACTAATGAGAAAACTGACTGCAAAAAGCAGTTTCATTTCTTCCTAGTTGACAAGCATAACCGAAAGAACTTTCACTTCCATTTCTGCAGCATGTGAAAGTTTAAAGGGATATTCCATGTCTCATTTGATTGTTAGCAACACTTATCTGTTAAAAAGTGTCTCTGAAGGTTTAAATTTGTAGATGCCTTCTATTTGAATGCCAAGTTTAGTATGTTAATATACTTACAGAGAACAGTTATGACTTACAATCGGACATTTAGTTTTCCAGAAACAAGAGCAGCTTACCTAGGAACTTCTTTAATGTATCTATCATACGCAATTGTGTTTTTTCCATAGTTTATCTGTTTTTGTCTTCTCATCAAAACCACTTCATCTGTTTCAAGTTCTACTGTCACAGTGGACTCCTTTGAATCAGAACTAAAGAAAAAACAATGTAGATTTGAGACTACTAGAAAACAAGCAATACTGAAAAACAAACCCACGTGTAGAAGACTATAAAGAAACACATTAAAACTTTTCAAATGAATGCTTGGGATGTTACTGAACTACAATGTTGGAGCAGACTTAAGATGAACTACTTCAAACAGCATTTTCAGAAGCAACATGGTACATTTGAAAAATTCAGACCTATTGACAGGATCTTCCTCAGCTAAGCTAAAAAATTTAACCTACCTTCCAGAGGAGGACTTCCTTTCTCTTGAAAATTCATTGATCAGAAGTTTTCTTCTGTATCTGAAAGAATTCAAATCAGTATTAAGATTATACATACACAAAGAGAACATGTCAGGCTGCACTGTCACAACTCAGTTGATTTTACTTCTCAGCTAAGCAGCAGTTTTGAAGAAGTCAACCCAGACAATGTAAACACCTTTCTGCTATGGAATGAGTGTTTCAGTTTTCCCCTTAAAAAAAATAAATCTGGGGACTTTTTTTTTTCCTAAGTCTTCTCCCTAAAAATTTTTTTATAGTAATGATATGCAAAACCAGTAATTAGTGAAAGGACATTCAAAGTAATTCAATCTAAGAGATTCAGGAAAGGTTTCTTCCAAAAGGGAGAGATTTAATGATAGCATACTCTCTGGAGAGTTGATGGGTATGTCACTCCTGCAGGGCTTAAGTCATAGCTGACCTAAAAGCAGCAGACAAGAAGCCAATGTTGGTCTGTACTACAATAGTGAAGTTAAAAATAAAATACAGATTGTACAAGACAACTACCATTTCTCCTCCTTTCCCCGCTTCATCTCAAACACCTACAGGTACCTTGCAATTTCTTTGTTAACATTTGTCCTCATTTCATCTTCTTCCACTGCAGTTCCCCAATCTGAACACCGGGAAAGGGGTCCAGGGCCTTCTGGTGTTGTAAAACTAGAAAGAAAGGAAAAAAAAAAGGGGGGGCGAGGAAGCACCTCTACATTAAAATTTTATTTTATTGTATTTCTTACCCCATGCCCAGCATCTCCCCCATTCACAGTTCTATAGCTACTTAATATATTCATTTATAGTACTCACAATAGCTGTGAAAATCTTGTGTTGTTCTGTTAAAATGTCATCTTTGTAAAATTAAGAATCAGTTGAGAGTTCCACCTTGAGGTTGTGTGGTTTGGGGTTTGTGTGTTGGTTTTGGTTGGTTTGGTTTTGTTTTTTTCTTATAAAGTTTCTGTAGATATCTATAGAAACAAACCACTGTAGCATGTAACCTAGCCTACACTCTCAATAACTTTAAGCTGGTGTTCTTCAGAAAACAGTATGTGAAATACCAACTTCACTCATTTACTCGCTTATTTTCACTCCACTAAACAAGTTAACAAGTATTTATTCTTTCAGGATTACAGACTCATTAGCTATATAAAAGACAAAAGGTAGAACACAGAATTAAATTGTACAGCTAATTAATTAAAATTACACTATAACACCAGGAGTTTCTCCATGTGAAAACATACCCAGTAGAGAAGGCAAAGACACAAAAAAAGAGCAGTCAATTTTTAGCTAGTAAACTGAGACTTGCTATGATTTTGCAAACTAGTATTTAACAACTTTATTGTAGCCCATTAGCAGATTCAGACTTCTGCAGGAATAAGTTTATATTGCTTCCCAGCCAACAATAGTTGCCTACAGTCAGATTATTGAATCTGTTTTCCAGTTTCCGTCCTCCTGATGACTGATTTTCCTGAAGTACGAACTCAAAACCGTATGCTACAGAGCAGAGCATTTTCACTAGATCTGGAAACGCTCTGGAGACTTAACCAGGATTCTGCGCAAAGATGTCCCTTGAAGTCAGGGAATTAGATCCGTCTGCACTAAAACCAGTTCCAACTCCCTCCTGGCTCCCAGCTCAGAAATAGGCTTGCACTACTTTGAAGTTTTAGTTAAATTAAAACTAAAAGGTGTTTTCGGATGAAACCCAGTTACCTACTCAGAAAAATTTAACATAGCAAACAGTACAGGTCCCTCGGCAAATATCCGTTTGGCCTCCAAGGATTTTTGCATTTGCTTGTATTGATTTTTCACTTTGTTACAAATACAGGCCGCGTTCCTATATTGCTCTCCCACAGTAGAGAATAGCGCAATCCCAGAAGTACCTGGTTAGTCCCACCGTCTGAGCTTTTTCCTCAATACCGTGTCACATCTTTCCATACTTGTTTCTGTACCTGTGCTGTGTATGCAGAGAATTAGGGAGGATCTACAGCTCTTTCTTTCAATTAATTTGCTCTGTGACAGTACTGGTGCCAGACATACTAAGCTTAGGCATCTTTCTTCAGACCCTAACCCGCACGTGCCATTTCACCCTCGTTGAGAAGCTCTGGTGCTATGCTAGGACTGAAAATGGTGCTCAAACTCTGCCACAGAGAAACCACCCCCTCCCCAGACTGAATCTGTTGTACGGCCCAGCATCCATCCCAATCCTCTTCCCATTTGAACATTTTATTTTGACAACGTTGAACTAGCATAAACAAAAAGTAGCATTAGGAAGAGAACAACTTCAGTCAGAGCTGAATCCAAATTAAACCAGAAAGTACTCCAATTCAGTACTGGAAGACACACAAAAGCATTACTTATTTAGGTTAAAACTGATGAAGCAATCTGAAAAGTTTCATCTTTGCATTCCTACTCAAACACGCTTCCTGAAATTAATTTCATTTACACTGGATATCATAACCTGTGCCACTGACCAATGTTGCCCCTGCTTATTATCAGCAAAGAAAAATGGGTAGTTACAGGGCACAACCCATCTCATTCTAGATTAGAAATCTAGATTCAATCAACTGAGCTGCAGGTCTCAGCTCCCATCCACTGATAAAAGGCTCTAAAGGAACCATGGCACGAACAGCTCAGACATAGACAGTGACATAAAATAAAGCACTTTCACTAAACTGAAGTTTACCTGTGCTGGGAAATGCTAAGGAAGGCAGTGAGCAGCAGCGTGAACAGAGTGAGTGACCTCAGAAGTGGACCCCACCACACATGTTGACATACTTAGACACAACTTCTCAAGATGGTCTGTACTGCCTTCAGAAATATGCAGGCAGATGACTTCTAGGACTTGAATTTTTAATTTGTCATCTCATTTAATTTTACCACATGTGCAGCCTATATCCATAAACAAGCGTAACTGGCTTGTGCAATTATTGCTTCATGATAAACAGCAGTAAGCAAGCGTGAAATAGGACAGAAAATAATGAAGAATATAATACAAGACATAAGAATGAAAAATGTTTATTCTTAAGAAGTGACTCCAAGATCAGAACACTGCACTAGATTCTTTTCCCTCCTTTAAGACCAGCTATTTATGATCGACGAGTGATTTATGAATAGGCAGGGCTTGAAAAACGCATGCAATAGTGTATTCAACAGCTCCTGATGAACAAAAGAACAGAGAGCTGCTTCTATTGCAAGTGCTGCTTACCTGTCCAGCCTGCTGCCAGAAGACTTGTACTTGTTTTCCTCAAAAAGGGATGAATCGGATTCACTCGGCTTTCTTCGCTTTCCATCTGCACCACGTTTCCTTCCTTGGGACCAGCGAGGCGGAGGCTGTGGGCTGGCAGCAGACAAATCAAAGACAACGTGAGCGTTTTATTTTATTAACCTCTTTACAACATCATCGCGTGCAGACATCGTAGTCTATTTACTAATTTTACTTCAAGAAGCCAAGCTGAGCGACGCCAGTAGGGCCTCAAGAGTCCCTCAGGGGAAACTCCGCAGGTTTCCCCACAGCCCGCCCCTGCAGACAACGGGGGGATTTATGCCCCTTCCCCCGCTCCCTTCCACAGGGGACCCGCACCTCAGCGAGGGGCGAGCGGCTGCCCCGCGGCC